CCCTCCCTCCCTCCTTCCCTCCCTCCCTTCCTCTCTTCCTTCCTTCCTTTTTACTCCCCCTCCCTTGTGTATATATAGTGAGTACTTCTATGACTAAGCAGCAGGGGGCTCCCTATGAGAGCTTGAAAATTGCTGTGGAGAAGAGCTAGCTTTTGGTTGTTAGCTGATGTCCTTTTTAATTTAGGCCTTGTTCTCCTGAAAACTCCTCCTGTGCAGGCTTCCTTCGAGGCTAGGCTAGCTGTAGGAGTACTGAGTCTGCTTTATTAAGAAGTTGGTTAACAGTTGACACTGTGCTGGTTTCTAGACTCTGCAGATGTAGATGAGTGGAGCTAGAGATGCTCTGGCTGTAGGTTTCTTCTCTCAGAACTGAGGTTCCTGATAAGAGAGAGACTGCAGATTCCTTGGGATCTTTTATATCACAAGAGTAAGGTACTCTGTATTCTTTTAACCATCTTAAGTTTTCTGTTCCACTGCAGTCAACTCTGCTGTAAATCTGAATTTTTTTATATTCTTGGGGGCCCACTGCATTATAATTAAGAATCTCTCATAAATAAATCCCATTCTCCTCTAAGTAAGAGCTCAAGGTATCCAGACAATAAAGGTTCAGGGGTTTGTACTCCAAGTAGCTCTTGTTGTCTTTGAGCTCACAGGTTTGATGCAAAGAGCGTTGCTGGTCACAAATCACACGAGGTATACAGTTTGTGTCCAGTGATATGCCACAACCTTTTATTTATATGGCCAGTTGACTCTCTCCTGCTCCGTTCACTACCGTGGAACGTGGATCATTTTCCTTCCATGATCCTCCTTCCCACACATCATCAGCACCTCCTGGCATGTCTTGCCCATTAAGTCTTCTGTGTGCCAGAAAACCCCAATAATGATTCAATGCTGATGAAAGAATGTGAGAAGGTTAAAATACCAACCAATTAACCCCCTTACAGTACCCTTAAATTGTGGGTGATATTCCTTTGCCATTTTCACATTGAAAGTAAGAGTTTTTGTCTGATTCATTTTCTGTTTGGAAATGTCTGACATCAAAATTCTGAGAAATAGTTTCAAATACCAAAGAGATTGCAAGACTCTTGCCTTATTTCCTTTTTGTATATTTCAATCTATCTATCTTTATTTTTTGCTTTTTATTTTCTTTTTTTCATGGTTTTTCAAGACAGGGTTTCTTTGTGTAGCCTCAGCTGTCCTTGAACTCCCTCTGTAAACCAGGCTGGCTTCAAAGTCAGAGATAAAACTGCCTCTGCCTCTTGAGTACATACGCTTCCACCACTGGACTCAATCTTTCTTGAGTTTGGCACCTTCTTTATAAGAAAGTTCTAAAACTAGTCAAAGTTAGGTACCATTTTATTAGTGAAAGGCCTAGAGTTTTTAAGCTAATAATAATTAAAAATAGTTATCTTACACTCATTAAATTAAAGAATATTAACTGTAGCAAGTTATACCAAACTATTAGTATAACTTAGATTCCTTTGGATTTTCAGGGCCCTTAAGGTCCTGTGCCTTAGGATACCTGCTGCCTTTCAGAGAGGGAAAGTGGGGCTGAAGTTCAGGGTGCCTGCATCACTGGATTTGTTTTCTTACGTCTATTACATATTCCAGAAAAACAATAATAAGTCAGGAGGAGCTATGGAACCAGCTTCTGATTGCTCCTTTGTAATAGGAGCAAGGAATACTGTAGACATTTTGCCAGGGATCATATTTCATGTTGCAGGTTAAGGTAATGTTCCATATACTAAAGCTTGACTTTTTACCAGTCTGTATTTTACCACTACTTCACATTGTCATCATCATCATCATTATGATTATTTTGTAATGAGAGTTATTTTTTAAAAAATCCCTGGTGATACATCTGGAGCCTTTCCTCAACAGCTGCTGTGGTGAGGTAGGTCAGGAAAAAGCCTCTTTTGGAGGTACCCTGGGGGTTAAAGGGTAATGAGCACTTAATTTTGTCTGCTGGTGCCAGAGCTGCTAAACTGGAGCTCCTGGTGACTGGTCTGTATCTATCTACTCTGACAGTTCTTTTATTATGGCTTTCACTAACCTATCAGTAACTAACTGTGGTTGTTTAATTACAGAGGGAACATCCCCACGCTAAACAGGTACCGTATATTTAGTTTCTTTTCCAATTAAAAGCACCCTCCCCCAGAAAAAACAACTTAGAATAGTGAAACATGAAAGAAAAATCATACTACAGTCAACAAGCTAATGTGTTATCTTTTGCTAGGAAATCCTTAGCTTCCTCTTGGACATACTAAGTTACTCTTTCTGTTCAGAAAACATGTCTTCAGCTGTTCCAAAAGTACTTATAAAGTGTCCGTGTGGCAAAGACCCCATTGAGCTCTGTGTGAGAGGGAGTGTGTTGACAGGCTAATGTTCAGCGTTGCTGGCAACATCTTGCTGAGTTCTCATTACAGTTGGGGCTTTCAGAGGAGAAACCCTTAAGATTATTCTTAGCCTGGCAAAACATTCACAGCATTAGTTTCTCTAATTTGGTTCTCCTTTTAGAGGAGTAAAATTCCAAAAATAGCTGATCTCATGTTTCATCAGTTTGTTAACTGTTTTTTGAAAATATTAAAGTGTTACCATGATTTAAAAGTCATTTCATTTTATAACTGTAAGATTAACATTGGAAAAGTGTATTAAGTTTTGTTACTTTGAGCTGTGTGAAGAAGTTCCCAAGCCACTACAGTGTGAGTGGCATTTCAGTATGTGTTTTGCATTTCTCCTGCTTCCTCAGCCAAGCAAGGTCACATGCAAGTTTGAGAGGACAGCAGTTGTGATTGAATAGAATCCAGGAAGTTCTCAGGCAGTGACAAGTTGGTGGCAAACTCTCTGTAGTTGCTACATGTGGCAATATTTATAGGCTTACATCTTTTCTCTCCTTTTAAAGTACTAGTAATTAAAACAAATTATAGCCCTATAGCTCTATTTAAATGTGGAAAGAAAGAAAGAACTAAAGAGAGACAGGAAGAAAGGAAGGAAGGAAGGAAGGAAGGAAGGAAGGAAGGAAGGAAGGAAGGAAGGAAGGAAGGAA